CACACCCACACCCTCTTCAAGCGACATCACTTCTTTTTATCTAATCTCGTTATATATATCATGTATATCTTCCATTGTACAATCAGGCTATTCTATGATTGGCGTATGAACGTTCAGTTTAAGTTAAGTCATCTCAAAAAGATAAATGAAGTGCGTTTTAACGATTCTAGCGATTTTATTGGTTAATTCAGTTTTAACTTGTTCGGTGTGATTTCGGCCTAAGGCCCCAAACAGACTAGACGAATTAATATTGAATTAAGAGATGTAATTGGTGTTGCTATGTAGAAACACCAATCACATCTCTTAATTCAGTATTATTTCGTCTAGTCTGTTTCGAGCCTAAGTCTTTTCTTTTTTTTCTTAAGTTCAGTCAGTAAATTTTCATTTCGATTCCAGAATTGTTTTGTATTTTCTCGTTTAAATGATCTTTATCTCTTTTGAATTAACAAATGGAAAAAATACTTTTTCTTTTTTCTCCTGTTTAGATCTATTCTGTTGATCATCATCATTTCTATTTGTTCTTGTTTGGTGAGGATATTTTTGATTCAGGTTAGTCGAATTTTTGAATCAATTTGGTATCAACATTCCATGGTCTTTTTTTTCCGTGTTAGTAGATAAATTTAAATCGTGAATCTGTTGTCACACATCGGCATTATCAATCGAAAATGAATAACGAAAGTGAGTAGTTGATTGGTGTTCTTTAGAAACTTGATTCCGATTATAAATATTTGATTCAGTGGAAAAGTTTCTTCTTCTACTTTTATTACGAAAACAAACGTTGGGATAATTCTTGAAAGAAGATTTCAGCTTGTTGTTTATTTAATAAATTGTTATCTATTGATTTTTATGTTTAGATGTTGTCGAAAAATTCAAGTTAATTGTGTCTCGTCTACCGATGTCAAGCACATTTAAACAACAGTTGGAATCTCTTCTTGGTCAGTATACAAATGATGATGAAATTTCATTACGTATGTTAATCGAGCAAACATATGTTCTAATGTTTGAAAACAATAAAAGCTCGTCAGAATTCAATGCACCAAAAGAAGCTAGTGAATGCACGAAATCCATTGAAGGAACAGTCAAGCAAAAAACAACTCAACAATTACTTAATGATATTATTGATCAATTGGATGTCTTGTTAGCAGAAATGATAACTGATGAAGATGATTTGATTCGAATTGATATTGTGAAAATCGACTTACGACAATTATTCATTCAAATGGAAAAAAATATTTCTATGTTAGAAAATGACGTTGGTGTACTAAAATCTCGTGTATTGGCATTGGAAGAAATGGAAAGTAACATTAATGTGATACAGATGGGGAACATAGCATTTCAACTTCTCAACAAAATGATTAGATATATCAAACCAGGTCTATCGAAAAGAGCTGCACGTGATGAACGTATATATTCATTACAAGGAGAAGAAAAATTTCCAGATTTAACCGATCTTATCAAGAAATATGATCAAAAGTTGACCATCTTCGATCTGGCACGATCAATAAATGCGTTGAAAAAACAACGTGTTGAAAATGCTCATGATGAACATCCAATGTCAAGTGATGAAATAGATTCAATCTTAACTGAATTTATTTCCGGTAATGATCAATATTTAAGTCAACAAGCAACGGTGGTGGTTCGTTTTCTAAAAATCTTAGCAGGACATCTGAATGAACCATTAATTGTTGATCTAGGATGATGACGAATACTATATTTTTAAATAAGCAGGTTTTTTTTGTTTTTTTCCTGTTTTATCGTTTTTTTTCATCAAGTAAAAAATATCTTTTCTAACAAGAAATCTGTATCTTTCTTTTCTCTTTTTGATTTGCCCTTTCATTGAATTCATTAACAGTCTGATCCAAGAGCTTTTTTGAAGTTTTATTGCTTGACTTTCATCAAACAAAATCTCTTGCGTAAGTATTGATTGATATCGTTGTGATATACTCTGATTGGGTGTGGGTGTGGGCGTGAGTTTGGGTGCCAGATGATACATACGCACACCCGCACCCACACCCTTCCATCGAATACAGAAGTTATTCAAAATGCAGCTGGAATGAATGGTACAATTATTTTCTTTTTCATCTTCATTTATAAGACTTGTTTTTCTTCGTTTCTAGTCAGTAGTAGATATGGTTTTGATCTTATGGATGCTGGTTTAATGACTTGGTATGCAAGCGGTTGGAAAAATATTCCACTTATGTCAACATGTGAATCAATGACTTATAATCCAAAAAAGACTATAAAGTCAAAGTCAAATGAAACATTTTCTGTTGATTTAAAAGTATGCAAAAATAGTGGTGATATAAAAAGTCAAGTAAATTATATTGAACAAGTACAAGTATTTGTAGATTTATCGACGACTAATTGAGGAGAAATAGAAATCTATCTTTACTCACTATCAAATACAAAAACAACAATTTTACCAGTAAGAATCAATAGTTATTTTAATAAGATATGTTATTAATATATTTAACTTAGAGACAAGCTAACGATCACAGTGATCAATGTTTTGCCAATTGGGCTTTTTTAACAGTACAATTATGGTTTAAAAATCCTCATGAACTATGGAAACTACAAATATGTAATACAGGTGGAGGATCAGGTAAAGAATCGATGAATATAAATGAAGTTGAAGGAAAAAAGTGCATGTTTTACGGCAAACCATAGTACGTATATTAAACTAGGTGAAAGAAAAGGAGAATCATGTAGTAATCGTCATTTAAAATGTTAATATCGATCGTTCTTAATAGTATCCAATAGAACTGCAAAGAAAAATATAGAAAGATGTCTATCCACTTTAGCATCAGAAATGAATAGCAGAGGAACAATCTGACGACGGAACCTTGCCAATTTCAAAATTGCTTTGAAGTTCGGGCCCGGTGCATAAGGTAGACTTCAATGAGATATTAAAAGTATCGAAATGATAAGAGATCTGAGACCTTCACTACATAGCTATTGTCTATCAAAGGACAAAATTACAGTGAAACGACTATAACCATGTAGTGACTGTTCAGAGATCCTTATTGTTTTGATATTTTTAATGCTTTATGAAACTCTGTCCTATGTAGAAAATACGAACTCAAAAGCGATTTTCAACTTGCAAAGATTTCCTTAGAAGCATACAATAGAGTTTGACTTTATGAAAACAATTTAAAAAACGATGTATTGACTTTCATGATATTGATGGTTTGTTTGAAATCAACAACTGTCTTTATTTTTCTAGCTGAGTTAATATCTTGGCAACTTATCGTTCATAGTACACGTGATTATCCAGTCTCACCTCGTTTGTCATCTGAAACTAATCAATCTAATGTAAGTAGCCATCTATGGTTGTCGTTTGCTTATTATATTTCCTCTATTTATTCATATTTTGATATTTTGATATTTATTCTATTAATTTTTTATTATTGCTAGTTAAATTTGTTTTTACTGTGTAATAATAATTTATTTTCTACATACCTATTTTGTCAATATATTAGTTGTAGTTATACATGAGTAATAAGCGTTTGCCTTTTGTTCATTAGCTATGAGAATATCATTATTGTTGTACTTATTTATAATAGAAAATGCCTTGCTTTTATCTTACTATACATATCAATGTCGAACAGGAATAATCTTCTGTTACTTCTCAGTATACGTGGTCTTTCTTCTGGATAGATTTTGTTTTTCTATCGTTACTATTTTTTCTACTTTAAATAAAGTGAACAGTCGCTTGTAATTTAACTTTAAGCTAAAAAATTGACACAGAAATACTGTTAATTATTATTGAGAAAACAATACGAGATTAAAAAAAAAGCTTTATGTTAAGAATATCATGAGTTAGCTTGCTGTTGTACTATGGATTCATTGAATTATCATATAGAATTTTTATACATCATAAAATGGCGTGAATAATAATAATAAGTGTTAAGTAAAGTTATGTAATTAGATTAACGCTTATCTTCTAGTTTGCTCTTTCAATTAATTGAAAATTGCATAGTTATTTTCATGTATTGTTCTCTTTGAAATTTATAGCATGAGTTGCTTGAAAAATTTTATTAAAACTCTAATACCTATCATGTGTATATTTTAGTGTCATGTCGAATGTAATCCTAAAGAACCATGTGGTAATAATGATACAAGTTGTACAGCATGTCGACATTATAAACAACCATTAACGGATGGAAAGTTGTGAGTAAATATTGAAAGAAATTTTTCTATCTTAATTATGTCTTTTTACTTTAATGATGTTTTTTATATTTAGTCGCTGTGTTGGTATATGTCCTGAAGGTACTTATCCATCTGAAACTGATAAATCATGTTTACCTTGTCACTCAAAATGTGGTTCATGTCGT